AAATTTCGAATTTCAAAACCATATTTATTAATTAATTATTGTTTTATGTCTGCCACCACAAATGGTCATTTAATTAATCGATTTACAAATTAAAATTGGATTTTTAAAAGAAATTCTTTTCCCACCATCCATATTTAAATTCAAAATTTTAAACCATTTCAAATTTCGAATTTTAGATCAGATGACCAATTCCAACATAAAAAGCAATTAAAACAGCTGATTTCTTTTTGAATACCAATGTGATGGGCAGTGAGACATTCAATGCCTTGTCTGCCACCACAAATGGTCATTAAATTATTCGATTTAAAAATTAAAATTTGATTTTTAAAAGAAATTTTTTCCCCACATCCATATTTAAATTCAAATTTTTTAACCATTTCAAATTTCGAATTTTAGATCAGATGACGCATTCCAACATAAAAAGCAATTAAATCAGCTGATTTCTTTTTGGATACCAATGTGATGGGCAGTGGGACATTCAATGTCTTGTCTGCCACCACAAATGGTCATTTAATTATTCGATTTAAAGATTAAAATTCGATTTTTAAAAGAATTTCTTTTCCAACCATACATATTTAAATTAAAATTTTTAAACCATTTCAAATTTTGAATTTCAGATCAGAAGACCAATTCCAACATAAAAAGCAATTAAAACACTTGATTATCTAATTAAAATTTCGAATTTCAAAATCATATTTATTAATTAATTATTCTTTTATATCTGCCACCACAAACGATCATTTAATTATTCAATTTAAAATTTAAAAATTCGATTTTTAAAAGAAATTATTTTCCCACTATCTATATTTAAATTCAAAATTTTAAACCATTTCAAATTTCGAATTTCAGATCAGACGACCAATTCCAACATAAAAAGCAATTAAAACACCTGATTATCTAATTTATTTTGTCTGTCAGCTCTCTTGATTCTTGATTGTTATGATATTTGAATCAAATATATAACAAAGATAATGTCTTTGTTATATCATTATTGTGTATATATTATTTAAAAAATAACCATAACGAAATTGTGAATTGAATGACAATCAGGTCTTCAAAAATTGTGAAAAATAAATACATAATTTCAAAATTTAATTGATAAACCATTTAAAATTTCGAATTTCAGATGAGATAACCAATTCCAACATAAAAAGCAATTAAAACAGTTGTTTTCTTTTTGGATACTAATGTGATGGGCAGTGAGACATTAAATGCCTTGACTGCCACCACAAATGGTCATTAAATTATTCGATTTAAAGATTAAAATTCGATTTTTAAAAGATATTCTTTTCCCACCGTCCATATTTAAATTAAAATTTTAAACCATTTCAAATTTCGAATTTCAGATCAGACAACCAATTCCAACATAAAAAGCAATTAAAACACCTGATTATCTAATTAAAATTTCGAATTTCAAAATCATATTTATTAATTAATTATTCTTTTATGTCTGCCACCACAAATGGTCATTTAATTATTCGATTTAAAAATTAAAATTTGATTTTTAAAAGAAATTCTTTTACAACCATCCATATTTAAATTCAAAATTTTAAACCATTTCAAATTTCGAATTTTAGATCAGATTACCAATTTCAACATAAAAAGCAATTAAAACAGTTGATTTCTTTTTGGATACCAATGTGATGGGCAGTGGGACATTCAATGCCTTGTCTGCCACCACAAATGGTCATTAAATTATTTGATTTAAAAAATAAAAATTCAATTTTTAAAAGAAATTTTTTTCCCACCATCCATATTTAAATTCAAAATTTTAAACCATTTCAAATTTTGAATTTTAGATCAGATGATGCATTCCAACATAAAAAGCAATTAAATCAGCTGATTATACAATTAAAATTTCGAATTTTGAAACTTATTAAATAGCTGATTATCCAATTACCGGATTAACCACATATTTATCATTCCAATAACACAATTGAAAATATTGTGGAAAATAACTAATGACAAACAGATAAACTTGTATTCCAGAATATGCATAAACATTACTTTGTCTACAGGAACGCTCCTATTTGAAGTTAAACACGGAGGAAGTGATTACCAAAACACAGCAATAAAAAACTACAATTATATTGTTCAATCCCAAACAATCTCCAAAACAAAAAACTTTCAAGTGACGTTGTTCCAGCTTCCAAGTGACATTGTTCCAGCTACGCGTCTTTCAGAACAACATCAAATCTAAACAGAAACAAAAAAATAACAACGTATTAACAGACACATCACACTCACGATTATAAAAAAAAGCTACACAAAGAAAAAAAATAATGGGTAAGTACTCAACTCTTTCTCTAGCTTAATCTTCTTAGGAGGACGGACAACTAATGAATTAAAATTGTCTTGAAGGGGATCATTAGGATTCATTAACGGCGTCAGCATTGATAGCGAAATATCACCAACGTCTGCACTATCACACGTCTGACTTTCCACATCCTTGTCAGAAACAAATATTGTTTGAAATTAGGAATATCAAAAAAAAAACAAAAAAAAAATACCTTTTCATCTAACAGAATCATCTCTACGTTGTCGTCAAAATTTTTTTGCTGAAAATTAGGAACTTTCTATGTTCTAACAACTCTAGCCTTAATCCTCCACTCCTCCTTAGAAGGATTAAGATCCTTAATAAAATCATACTTGGCATACATAACCAAACGTATATCAGGTAATACTGCCTCAAAGCCTTTGAGGACAAAGAAAAGAACGAAATAGAGACGCTTCCAAATACTTATTTATACACGAATATGCACTATTCGATTTAAAAATGGTCATTTAATTATTCGATTTAAAAAATTAAAATTAGATTTTTAAAAGAAAATTTTTTCCCACCATCCATATTCAAATTCAAAATTTTAAACCATTTCAAATTTCGAATTTTAGATCAGATGACGCATTCCAACATAAAAAGCAATTAAATCAGCTGATTTCTTTTTGGATACCAATGTGATGGGCAGTGAGACATTTAATGTCTTGTCTGCCACCACAAATGGTCATTTAATTATTCGATTTAAAGATTAAAATTCGATTTTTAAAAGAATTTCTTTTCCCACCATCCATATTTAAATTCAAAATTTTAAACCATTTCAAATTTCGAATTTCAGATCAGACGACCAATTCCAACATAAGCAATTAAAACACTTGATTATTCAATTAAAATTTTGAATTTTAAAATCATATTTATTAATTAATTATTCTTTTATGTCTGCCACCACAAACGGTCATTTAATTATTCAATTACAAATTTAAAATTTGATTTTGAAAAGAAATTCTTTTCCCACCATCCATATTTAAATTCAAAATTTTAAACCATTTCAAATTTTGAATTTCAGACCCGACGACCAATTCCAACATAAAAAGCAATTAAAATACCTGATTATCTAATTTATTTTATCTGTCAGCTCTCTTGATTCTTGATTGTTATGATATTTGAATCATTATATAACAAAGATAATGTCTTTGTTATATCATTATTGTGTATATATTTTTTTTAAAATAACCATAACGAAATTGTGAATTGAATTACGATCAGGTCTTCAACAATTGTGAAATTTGTTTTTGTTTCTATTGATCTCCATGAATAGAGATCGTGAATGCATGTCCGAGAAAAGAGTTTTCTTTTTATTGAATTTGAAATTTTGAATTTCAGATTGTGCAAAATAAATACATAATTTCGAAATTTAATTGATAAACCATTTAAAATTTCGAAACTTCAATTTTTAAAAGAATATTGGTATGATAGTTTATCTGATATGATTGTTTTGGTTTTGGGATTTAATTTATTTTGTCTGTCAGCTCTCTTGATTCTTGATTGTTATGATATTTGAATCAAATAAAATTAAAATTCAATTTTTAAAAGAGTTTTTTTTTTCCAATTTACCCAATAAAGAAAGTTTGTATATAACCAAATTGTAGAATCAACGAGGGAGTGACACTTGGCAAAACTTTCCAGCAGTGAACTCTCCTTTATATATATATATATATATATATATATATATATAGATATAGATGGTCTGTGACATTTTGGTGCTATGGTACCAATATTTATTGGATCCGTTCATCTGTCTGATTTTTAATTTTTAAAACAAATCTTTGTTTTGTTTTCATAATTTTTTCAAGTTTCTGATTTCTGTTTCGATTTAGCATTAACATTTTTTTAAATAGGACAAGAAAAGGAAATCAATAAACCCACTGATGCGCGTTATTTGTTTGATTAATATCATATTCAGTCTTTTTCATTGCGGAAAGTAATGATAGAGCATATATACTTGCATTCGGCATTCTTTAGGTTATTCGATGTATTTATTTTCTCTTCCAACTTTTTTTTTTTTTTACCATTTTAATACGAAAACATAAAAGCATCATATGTCGCCAATGTTATCATCTTTAAAATCAAGAATAAGAGAAAGACATGTTTTGTCAGTAATCAGTATAAAAATAAAGATAAAAGATGAAAAATCAAACATTTTGAGTTTTTGTTGTTATATTAATCAGTGTTTTGGTTTATTTTCTTTATCTATCTAATTGTTTTACTGTAAATGTTTTTTTTTTTTGCTTGATTATAGGCGTTTAATTACATTGTCAGTTTTGCATTTTATTATTGATCTCACATTCATGTTTACCCAAAAAAAAAATTGATCTCACATTAATATTGTGTAGCGTTAATTATCTACCTATCTTATGATCTCACATTGATCATGGGATCGTATACAACCAGGGCAATGTGTATATAATATTGTAAGTTATAACTGATCATTGATGGTTCCCAGTATCAGTGTAATATAGGCAAAGACAAAGAACCAAATAGTATACGGAAAGAAATAAATAAACTAGTTAATGATAATAAATCACCTCCTCAAACAAGTTCAAAGACTTTTGTTCAAACAGACAAATGGATTTCCTAGTAGTTTATATTTTATTTTTTTCCCCTTTGAGTATTCACGCTAAAAAGATTATATATCATAATATTACTAAATAGACAGGCACGGGTTTTAAGCTTTGGTGAAGCCAGCATCGAAAGGAATGCCAGTGGCTGGCAACCAAGAGCTAGCTTGGATCCACTGTTCAGCAGTGAATTTTGCAGCCTCAGTCTTGCTAATGAGACCTTTTCCCCATTTAGCCCTACTTTGAGTATTGGCACCTGGTCCAGTGTTGGCAAACTCAGCAAAGTAAGCGTTCTGAGTGTTTGGTTCATTTGGTGGTGCCCATGGAATATACCCTTCTGGCTGAATCAAGTCACCAATAACATTCTCAATGAAAACTGCCCTTGAAAATGCCTTCCATGGCCTTGCCAAGTAAGACTTCACTGTCAACCTGTCGTTGAAGAGGGCAGCCTCTGGCATGATCTCACTGTTTTGCATGACTACTCCTGTTGGCATGCTCTTTTGGTCTGTCCCATCAGCAACCACTATGTTCTGTTGATTTGGACCAGGCCTCCTCACAATGATCTTGGAGTTCTGGATCAAGGTCGTGGCGTAGCCAAAAATGAAATCGACGGTTCCGGAGATTTCACAGTTGCGGTAGTATTGACGGTGAGCGTGAGCATACAATGTGTCTTGGTAACCACGCATTGCGCAATCAAAGAATGCTGAACGATCACCTTGAACGCGAAGTGCCACAGCTTGGTGACCCTGAGGACCAGCGGTGTTCTCGAATGCAATTGACTTGGCAATGAAATCATCAGCAAGAGTGGCTGCACATTAATTTTAATCATTATTATAAACTCAAGTTAGTTACACCTAGAAATATCAATTTCTCCTTCATTAATTTCTATATATATAATATATAATGGGTTTGGTGTTTGTCATTTAAAATGACACAAATATTTCATGGGAGAGAGAAAGTGGTAGTTTTTTTAATTTAAAATTCAAATTTTCTGTGTCTGTATCTCTCTTAAAATGACATAACTTTCTGTCATTTAAAACGATAAACACTTTTTCCATATATAATATAACCAAAATTATATTTATAATCTCTTTTCTCGTACAATTTCTTATAACTATTGTTATTATTGTCAGATCAAAATCAAATCATCAGATATACAATGATATAAAATGTGCAGATAAAAGAAATTATAAATATAATCTCTCCAGATATAATATAATTATAATTTCAACCATCAAGTGCGCGGATTAATTAACAGGGAGTTATTCTGGCTTAATTACTTGGATCGATATAAAGCTGTATTAAAACTTGATAGATAGATAGAGTTTTGCAAGTCTTAAAATTATCCGGGCTCGAATTTGGATTAATAAGGGAATAATAGTATATAAAAAAAAAAAAAATTAGAGTAGAGGAGAAGAACTTTTGACTTACTGAAGGTGGCGGTTCTCATTGTCTTGGTACCCTCGTTGAAGTTCTTGCGTCCGGTGATGATGGTCTTTGTGGGGCCATCACCGTACAAGAGAATATTCGGCTTCTTCTTGTCAACGGTAATGTACTCATCGTAGACACCAGCCTTAACGTAGATAAGGAATTTACCTTGGTGGTTCTTAGGGTAAGAGTTAATAGCATCAAGAACAGTCTTATATTGGCCACTTCCATCCTTGGCAACAACAGCATTAGGTATAATTCCACCTTGTCCACCATGTTGGGATCCTTTGCTGCTGAACTGACCCAAAAGCTTACGATCAGCAGCGGAGAACCAAGTTGGGTAACCCTCTTGATCCACCTCAAGAAGGCGACGAGAAGCAGGTTTAAGATTCAAGTTCAAGTTAAATGCACCGAGGACATTGGAGACTCCAGACACGACATCAAGTGCCAAACCAGTGATCTTACCAACGTTGTCCAAGCTACCTGTTTGCAACTGTTCCTGAACCTTCTTCTCACCGTCTGTGTCGAAACCATCAAGGCAAGATTGTTGGTAAGCAACAACAGCACCCAACCAATTCTTGAGATCCGAAGCACGTTCGTTAACATCCTGAATTGTGCTCTCACGAACCAAAAGACCTGAGGCTTCGAGTTCGTGAATTGCAGATTGCAACAAGTCCTTGCAATCTTCAAGGGCCATCTTGATGCCTGGTTTGCTATTACCATGCTCCACCGAGAGCCTATCACTCATGTTGAAAGCTTTGACGACGCTGTCCATTGTGGTTTTCACCACCGTTTCGATGTAGTCCTTTGGGTCTGAGGTGTCCACAGGGTTGAGGACTTCATGGCAAAGATTCTGGTCGTCTGCGTTTTGGCACAATGCCTTCACGGCCTTGCTGTGTGTGCTAACACCTTCACCGCCACCGTTTTCATTGGTTTTCTGATTGCGTCCGACTCCGACGACGACGCCGCCGATAACGGCACCAACCACCAGAACTAGGGCAACAACGGTAAAGCCAATTTTTTTGCCTTTGTTCATTTTTTTTCTTTTTTCTTTTTGCGGATACTTTTAATGTATTTTCCCCTCCGATGAGAGCATAAACAGATGAAGCCTAATCGGAGAGAAAATGGGAAGGAACTCAAAAGGATTTCCCTTCCCTAATTACTACTATTGTCTGAGGGGATGGCAATGGTAAACCTTGCATGGGGTTGGGTTCTTTATATACTACTCATGTGTCTTAAAAATTAGGGTTTGAGTTGTTTGACCTGGTCCATATAAGCTGTATGATTCTGTGGCTTTTGTGCAATTTTCTATAAATGGAATAAAATGATTGGCTATTGATATGTTTCTTACAGTTATCTGTCGCACATTTGTTGAGCTGTTCTCAGAATCAATCACGTGTCCGGAAACTAAGTTTGAAAAATAGCTATAATTAAGGGTGTAAATAGGCTAGGCTGGCTTACAGGGGCTACGGCCTAGCCTATATTAGGCCAAACTTGGTCTATTATAAGTAGTAAAATAGAATAGGCTTAGGTTTTTAAAATAACTTATTTAGAAAATAGGCCATAGGCTTTTTCGTATATGTCGGACCTATAAGCCTATAGATCGGCCTCTATCATATTATTTATTTAAAATATAATAAATAAAATTATTATTTAATAATTTTGAATAATAAAATAATATTATTTTAGTTATTCATTTAATTGTTGAATGTTTAATAGGCTTAAACAGGCTAACAGACCTATATCAAGGCTTTTATTTTTTGAATATAGGTTAGGCCAGACTTGTAATTTGGAGCCTACACAGGCTAATAGGCCAGACCATACCCAATATTTTTTACACAGGCTTGGCCTATTTAAGCTAAAGCCTAGCCTAGTCCATTTACATCCCTAGCTATAATAGATGTTTATTTTTAAAATATTTCCTTTTTTTTATGGGGACTAGAACAAGTAATTTGTTACCTCAATTTTTAATAAATTATCAATATTTCCCTCAATATATACAATTAAAGGGATATTTTCCAAATTTTAAAATATTGGACAGGAATTTTTCACGATATTAATTAGGATTCCCTCAATATATACAATTATAGTAGGGGTGTTCATCAACCGATCCAAACTGATTCCAACCGCGAAAATCGAATCGAAAAACCGATAACCGAATAAACTGAAAACCGAAAAATCGAAAACAGAAAAAAAAAAACGCAAATTTTAATTGGATTGGATCGGTTTTCGGATGAGTTGATGAAAATCGATCCAATCCAAATCGATCCAATATATTAATTATCCTTTACCTACTTGTCCTTTCCCCAATCATAGCCCAAAAATTTCTAAACTCAAGACCCATTAACTCATCAACTAAAACCAAGAAAAAACTTAATCACGTCTCATCAACTATAGTATTGTTTACTGATATTTTTGTATTTCAATTTTATTTTTTTTTACAAAGCCAATATATACAAAAGATGTTATTTGCACAATAATCATGAACTAATTTTAGGATATTCAAAAAATCGAAAACCGATCCAATCCAAACCGAAAAAAATTGGATTGGATCAGATCGGATTTGAAAAAAGAATCTAAACTGAATGGATGATTACATGATCAAACCGAAGAGATTGGATCGGATGAGTTTTACTTCCAAAACTGATCCAATCCATACCGCGAACACCCCTAAATTATAGTGATACTTTCCAAAAGACTTTTAATAGACAAAAATATATTTTTCATGTCTTATTTTAACTTTGTTATAAGTTTCATTTTTTATTTATGCCTATATTTTATTTTTTATTTTCATCTCATATCTTTTCATATTCCATCAATTTTGTCCTACTCTCAATTAATGATATAGAATTAATTTGATAAATTTTGAAAATATTTAAAATAAAAGAAACAAGATAACGGCGGTATGATGAATATGATATATTGAAATGTAACTAAAAGTTAGCAAACAAAACTAAATATTTTTCACAATAAATTTTATATATGATTTACTTTGAGGAGTTGTATTTTGAATTAATAAATTATGCTATTAATATAAATTTATTATTAAAAATCACATTGATTTAATTATAAAAAAAATTGATTTGATATTGATTTTGTGGCTTTTGTGCAATTTACCAAGAATATAATAAAATGATCGGTTATCAATCACAATTTTGTTAAGCTACATATATTGACAGGATCAATTACGTACTGGTATGGGAATACAAAGTTGAAAAATATAATAAATATTTATTTTAATAAATTAACTTCCCTTTTATGGGGAAGAAAACGAATTATTTGATACCTAAATATTCAGATTCTAATTTGCATTGTAGCCTATATATTAATCCAGGGCTGATAGAACGAATCATCTGTTTCCTCAATTTTCAGGATTTAACAGTGTTTTCCAAATTATAAATATATCATTTAATCTAGATAGGCTAGATTGATTAGGACCCCCTTATTATACAAAACTATAACCAATAAGTTTTTAATGATTAAAAAAATATTTTTAATTGCTTGCTGCGAATTCAGTTTTATTTTTTTATTTTGTTTAATATTTTTACTTCCATGCAAGGTTGTTGAATCGCAATACATATCGTGTATCATTTGACTGATTTTTAATTGTATCGTATATTGTAAATCGTATCGAATCGTAAGATATAGAAATATAATAAAAAGTAATTTAAAAATATATCATATGATTAATATCATATAAATCCAAATTTCAAAAAGGATCCAATAAGCATAATACATGAGTAATTAAAATGCAAATCAATTATTCTCCTACTCATCAATTATTAAGATTATTGTTATCATTACTATCACTCTCAGCGACATAATTAATCCATCATCCTCTTCATCTCTCATTTCTTGTTCAACAATATGAGGTCATTTTTCCTTATTATTCTTGTTGGTAATATCATTTCGTTTATCAAGCCCGCTGACATTATATTGTTCTTGATTGATGATGCCTTTACTTTTATCATTTATGCCGGCTTTATTATTTCCTTTATTAATATAGATTTTTCATATTGATTTTTGAGTTTAAATCATAAATCAAATCTTTATTTTCTTTTTCTTATTAATAATATTTTTTTAGATTTTTTTTATTTAAATCACAATTCAAATCTTTTATTTCTTTTTTAATATTAAAAATTAAAAAATTTGATTGCGTTTTCGTATGGTGTGATACACGTATCATTTCGTATCATACGATATAGTATCGTATCATTCGATACAAATTCCTTTCTTATACACCCCATGATATGTATCGCTAGGTTTATGAATCGTATCGTGTATCGTATGATACTGGTAAATATGCTTCCATGTAATTAAAAATTTGAAATGATCTTATTTAATTTGATTTAATTAATTTAGAAATCAAATTTTATTTCGAGAACTCATTACATTAATGGTATTTGATTAATTTAGAAATTAATTTAAAACCTTTTTTTAAATAATATTTTATTTCACTTTATTTTGTTATTTTAAATTTTTACAATTTAAGAGAAGAAAACTTAAAAGATTAAAAAAGGTAGAATAATGTATATATTGATTTAAAATTAAACCGAGTCGCACAATATTTTATTAAATTCCTAAATTGAACAAATAAAATTCATTGAGTCGTAAAAAAATCATACCATTTCCTATTTTTGAACATTCCAAACATTATATTCAATTCTCAAATCAAATCAGATTCCGTTTATTATTTTTACATTGCAAGTAGACTATACGAGTATAAATGAGTCAAGTCAAATTAGACTTTAGTCTAAATGGGCTAGATATAGACCTATGTAAAATATTTCAAGACTGTCTTAGACTCTAGCTAATTAGTCTGATACAAGCTAAATTATAAATGTGGACTGACTTATTTTAAAAAAAATACAAACTTGACCTAGCCTGTCAAGCCTTCTAAAAAGGCATATTGCACTCTGTAATATATGTTATGATTGTTTTATTTCTTTTGTATGTTTAAGTTAAAAGAAAGTCAAAATAAAACATAACCCAAAATATTCTTTTTATTAAAAAATAAAAATATTTTATTATTATTAAAAAATACATGCCGAGCCTAATTATTTAGAGGTTATGTCTTCTAAAATAGACTTGTGGCCTAATTTTTAAAGAAGTATTCTAATGAGCTCGCGTGTATTATTTTTAAAATAGGTCAAGTCAAGTCAGGCCAAGCTATATACTCCTGATAATTCGGTTCACTCGTTTACACCTCTACACACTAGTAAAATTAATACTGTATAGAAACTTTAATGAAACGAAAATTATACATGTACAATCACTAATAATAGTACAATATTAATTGGACACGTAGGTTAAAAAAAAATAAAAAAATGTGACTAAACTTCATGCTTAAAATATAACATTAGCTAAAGAGATTCTTTTATACACACAATCTATACAATTTGAATTCATTAAGTCAAAAACATTGACTCATTATGAATTTTTATGAACAGATCTGTTTATACTTCACGGACTGATCATATACCTAACTTGTATACACTTAGATAAATTTCTCCTTAGCTATTGTATATACATATATATGGTACCCTTATTCCTTGAATCTATAGGGATCCTACGAATTTCTATTTTTTTTGGTACTGCTTTGTGGTTTCATTTAAAGGTTTTGAGTTTAACCTAATTCTCAATGCATACTAATTAAGCTGTTAATTAGTCCCTTTTCTCTGTTGTCCCTAAAAGACCAAAACACAATGATGCATGAAACACGCATGGTTTTCAAGCTTTAGTGAAGCTAGGATCGAAAGGTATGCCAGTAGCAGGCAACCATGTATTTGCTTGAAGCCATTGGTCAGCAGTGTATCGAGCAGCATCATTCTTACTAAGAACTCCACGTCCCCACTTGACCCTTGTTTTAACATTGGCACCAGCTCCAGTGTTACCATACTCAGCAAAGAAACACGTGTCAAGGAATTGATTACCTTGCCATGGAAGAAAACCATCTGGTTGAATGAGATCACCAATTGTACTTTCCATGATGATTGCTCTTGAGTATGCCTTCCATGGCCTCGCCAAGTAAGACCTCACAGTCAACCTATCGGCCATGAGGTTAGCCTCTGGCATTATCTGACAATTCTGAAGAACAACCCCTGTTGGCATGTTCTTTTGGTCTGTGCCATCAGCTACCACTATGTTTCGTTGATTTGGATCAGGCTTCCTCACTATGATCTTGGAGCTTTGGATTAGTGTGGTGGCGTAGCCGAAGATGAAATCCACTGTGCCTGAGATTTCGCAGTTCCGGTAGAACTGACGGTGGGCGTGTGCGTATAATGTGTCTTGATAACCTCGTATGGCGCAGTCGAAGAATGCCGAGCGATCACCTTGCACACGAAGTGCCACTGCTTGGTGTTTGTTGGCTCCAGCTGTGTTCTCGAATGCCATTGACTTGGCAATGAAGTCTTCCGCTACGGTGGCTGCAAATTCATCAAACATTTAGTCATACGTCCTAAGCTACAGTGTTACTCGACTAGGTCGGAAAAAAAAATGATTAACTTTTGTTGAGGAGGAGTGGACTGCTTTAGAAAAAATTATTATTATTTAAATAAATTAAGAAAAGAAATATGATTAATTACTGTGTGATTTGATTTTAAACATGGTTCATTAATTATGATTTTTTCACATCTTTAGAAGTGGACATGGTCAGTTATTGGGTGCATATTTTCTTATGTTGTAGGATAGTAGGAGAGAAAAAAAGTAGAGATAAGTTAAATGTGGGTCCCACATTTTAAATTAAAAAAGAAAAGAAAAATTAATTGGCACAGAAAACGAATTTGTGTAGGAAAAAGTTCTTATCTCATGTAAAAGGAGATAATGATTTTCCTCAGTTATTTCCATTTTTTATACTTATAATCCTAACATCATTTCTACTCTTTTGTTTATAGCTACCTGTGTACCACAACTTGAATCCGGTACCTTCGATTTCCTCGATCTTTATTAGAAAAAATAATATATAATGATGGTTCAATTTTTAAACACTTTAAGAAAATTTACAATGATACTTTATACAGAGCGATTATATTTATCACTATTTCATACTTACCAATCTTATTAGATGTTTAGTTATTGTTAGGTTAATTTAAAAGGGGGTTTGTTTTACTCGAATAAATCTTTGGTGCTACTGTTGCACCAAAGATTCAGTACATTTCACCAATAGAAATATTACATGTCAGTTAAAATTTTTTTTCTGTCAAATTTTTTTTCTCTCCTATGATGTGTAATGCTTCCATTGATGAGATGCACTGAATCTCGGTATAAAAGATTTATTCGTTTTCCTCATGTTTTAGGAAAATAGTACCCCTTTTTACACACACAAGCATAGAGAGGAGAGAGAAAAAAGTGGTGAGAGAAAATAAAAAAAATGGAACCCATGTGCTTTTGTGTGTATGTAGAAGAGTGATATTATTTCCTACAACATGATACTTGTTTTTCCGAATTTAAAATCAACAACAATTATTTATTTATTTTTGACGGTTGATTTAAAATTAATCAAGGATAACCATATTTATAATGCAGTTCAATTTGGATTATGGTTAGCTTGGGTTGATATGTTCTTTTTCACACCCTAAATCTAAGGATAAAAAATTAAAAGATAAAAACAATTGAGAAGAACTTACAGAAGGTAGCAGATCTCATAGTCTTCCAACCATCAACGAAGTTTTTACTACCAGTGATAATGGTCTTTGTAGGGCCATCACCGTAAATTAGTATATTCGGCTTCTTCTTATCAACGGAAATATACTCATCATAGACACCAGCCTTAACATAGATAACATATCTTCCTTTTTGAGTCTTAGGGTAAGCATTAATAGCATCAAGAACAGTCTTATATTGTCCACTACCATCCTTGGCAACAACTGCATTGGGTGCCACCGAACCTCCCTTTTTCATTTCAGACAACAGCTTACGATCTCCAACGTTCATCCAATATGGATACCCATCTTGATCCACCTCAAGAAGGCGACGAGATGCAGGTTTTATATTCAAATTCAAGTCCACAGCAGAGAGTATTTTGGTGATTCCAGACACAATATCAAGTGCTATTGCAGTAAGCTTCCCCACTTCGTCCAAACTACCTGTTTGCAACTGTGTTTGGATCTTCCTCTCAGCGTCTGTGTCAAACCCATCAAGACACGATTGTTGGTACGCAATGACAGCGCCCAACCAGTTTTTAATGTCTGCAGCATGTTCATTAACGTTGTTTACGTTGCTGTCACGAACAACAATACTTGAGGCCTCTAATTCGTCAATAGCGAATTGTAACAAGTCCTTGCAATCCTCAAGGGCCATCTTGATGCTAGGGTCTTTCTTTCCATTTTCCAACGTGAGCCTGTCACTCATATTGAAGGCTTTGATTACGCTGTCCATGGAGGTTTGAACCACCGTTTTGACGTATTCCGTTGGGTCTGAGGCGTTGATAGGGCTGAGTGTGTCAATGCAAAGCTTTTGGTCGTCGGTGTCTTGGCACATGGCTTTCACAGTTTTAGTGTGAGTGCTCAATTCCTTTCCGTCGTTTTTGCTTGTATCTTCGCCGTTTTGGTTGGTGCGGACAAGAGCAACAACGCCTAGGGCAACAACACCTACTACGAGACATAGAGAAGCGAGAGAGGCAAGTCTTTTTTTTTCCATTTTTCTTATACTCTTTTGTTTTTTGTTTATCCCCTAAATAAAATTGTGTTATCTTCTCCTCAAGGAGAATAATGTGATGAACAATTGTGAGATTGTTTCTGAACCATTTCTAGAACTTTGGTTTCCTATTGATGGTTCGAGATTTTTATTTTTAGGGACATTGACCATTTCTCTTAAATTTCGATTCATGGCTTCTGTGAGCTCTACTATAAATCGACGTCGACTCATTGGCTCTGTTACGTCAGGGAACTCGTTGGTCATGTATAGGCCTTCGTTATCCATCACTTTGTTGGTCCCATCTTTCAACCATTCAATTTTCCCAAGTTACAAATTTACTAATAATATGTCTTATATAAATGAAAACATCACTAACACGTTATAATAGATAATAATAAATCTGTCGTTGGACTAAAATTCACATCATGGATGTTGAGTTTGTGAGTAAATTTTGTAATTCGTGTAAGATTATTTTAATGTAAATTGAAAAATTAACTTATATGCTTTATATAGTAAATAAAATACCAACCGTTCACACAAATAGTTTTTTAAATTTAAATTAATTAGTATACAAATTTGAAATTTCATATGATAGCCTCATTTAAGTATTTATATGTAGCGGATTAGCTGCTCTTCAATACTTACTCTTCAAATGACAAATAAGAATGGATACCTATTCTTCATTACGTAATTGATATACAAAATAATAGGTCTCTGCAATGCAATATCCACGAGTTTAATTAGGTCCACTTTCTAGTAAATTTAAATCAGCAAAAGCTAAAACAAAACAAAAAATGAATATGTGCAATATTCAGGTTTCAAGCCCAAATAATTAATGTATGAGGCAATGTATTTGAAAGATACAATATAAAAATCATTGATGGGCCTTAATGTTTAGAGAAATATAATATGAATCATTGTAGGCTCATCACTTTGAAATTTGACATCAAATTATAACTGTTGATTTCCGTCAATGAACGGTTATCATTTATTGGAAACCAATAGTTAATTAACAAGTTTGATTCACAAGAAATGATAACCGTTGATTGTCGGAAATCAACGGTTAGATTTGGTGTCAAATTTCAAAGTTTAATACCAGTGTTATAAGAATTATATCCCTCTATATATATATATATATATATTCTCAAGCACAAACACACATGAACATTCTTCTTTTTTTGAAACAAAAAATTATTAATTCCCCAAACAATGAATTATTATTAAATCTTAATAATTTTCTAATTTCTAAGAGTTATTTTAGTCAAACATCAATTTAAACTTGTAGGTATAGCAGCATCTAAATACATTTAATTTTTTATCTCCCATGATGGACACTACATTATCTTTGTTTGGGTGTATGATAGCTTACTGCATGTAAACAGACATGGTAACTTAGGTTGTTACTTGAGAGTGGAGATTAGGTTTTCATTGAGCCACAACTCTTGGTTCAATTAAATTTGTTTGAACTCAATTTAAAATTAAATTGAAATTACTCTTGATAAACCTTTAGTTTATCTTGTTTTATAAACTAAAATAATATAAGTTTTCTAGTTGAACAAGTTAAAAACTAGGGTTTTAATATGATAATCATGAACATTATTTAAAATTTAATTAAATGAATTATCTTTGTTATTTTGAAGGGATTTTTAGAGAAAAGGAGGAAAATTTGAATATTTTGGAATCACAACTAGAAGAGATGATAGATGAAGATCAAAACAAGAAGATTTGAAGATCTTATCAAGTTGTTAATAGAGGAGGCTTAAGCCCCCGTCTTGAAGCTTAAGCCTCCTAAACAAGCAAAAAGCCTCTGCCTATGGGAGCTTAAGCCCCTATTTCGATTCTTAAGCTTCCTTAAAACGCAAAAAGCTGAAGCCCCCAACTCAGGGCTTGAGCGCGCTGCAAGAAGAAAATTCCAGCTCGAGGAGCGCGCTTAACCGCCCTCCAGCGCGCAACGCGAATCCTGCAGGCACCGTTCTAGGGGGCTTAAGCGCGAATGACCAAGCTTAAGCGACCCAGAAACCTAACTTAGGCCTATACGAGGTATTCAACTAGGATACGAACTCTTGGCCAATAAAAACACCATTGGGGACCAGAATTACATAACTTTTGATATTCTAAGAGAGTCTTGGATACTTGGAGGCACACGGAAGGCGGAGAAACACTCGGTTCATGTTCGTGAGCGGCGGAGACGGATCGGAATCAAGTCTGCACTGGAGATATTGAAGATTCACCAATCATCTATGGAGTTTGGGGGAGCTTTTCTATTTTCTTTTGTTCTTGATTTAGCTATGTCCGGCTAAATCTTTTAGTAGTTAGGGTTAGATGGAATTTAATCGATTTATTATGCTTTGAACAATTCGTTATGTTAATTTTCCTTTTTATCATGAATGAAGTTATCTGTTTTTAATGCTTTATATAGGCTTGAATCTTATATAATGATCGTAGGTAAATGCATGACAATAGGAATATTGGTGTGTGATCCTTATCTGATAATTTCATCGTACGCTTTATGATTCTAGGGATAGATATAGAGTTTGCGTAATCTTTAAGATTCTTGAACTTAATGCTTGCATTCTTGGAGAATAATTGGGGAACTAGGGTTCTTGCAAGATTGTGAAGGTTTAGGGTAACAAGGGATTGAGCCCTAATTACATGCGAAAGAATTGATTAGATTGATATTAAGGACGATTAACGTAAAGAAGGAATTCAACGTAATAAAGAGATTGAAGGAAATCGAAACCTTAGCTATGTTTTTATTTTATCAATTATTCAAATCTTTATTTTCTTGTCTTTAATTCTTGCGAGTAATTAGTTTAATAGTCAATGTTTTAATTTTGCAATTCAAATTCTGTTTCCAAATACAATTTCGATTGTCCAACTAAATATGCGATAGTGAATTAGTGCTTCAGTATAATCCTCGTGGGGAACGATCTCTTATTCAATCATTAAATTACTTATACGATCAGTGCACTAGTAGCAATAACTCTCCCCTTATTTTAACTATTTATTTAATTTATGACTCAAAATTTCTGTGCAAGTTAATGTAAAATTAGCTAAACTGCGCCTCTCTCTTTTTCCAACTTCTTTAGGTTCATTAATTTCTATTTTCAAATTTCTTTAGTTCTTTTTCCTTTTTACGTTAACTAGACAATTTAGCACACTTTCCATCTCCCCCGTGGTTGGGTTATTGGTTCAATAAAAATAAAACAGGATTTTTATTGGATGTATAGCGTGGAACGCACCAAATGAGTAGGCAAGTGTTTCTTCTTCTTCTTTTTATGTTTGTTAGGTTGTTGACTATGTGAGTACTTTTTTTTTTTTTAAGAAACAGGTCAACCATCCTCCTTAGCCTTCAATTCGCGAAAAATGAGGCGGATTAATCATCAGTAGTGAATGGTTGGAAACAAATTGTTAAATTACAATATGTATTGTATATAGTTTAATTGGATTTTTATATCGTTTATCATAAATTATATCGAATCCTACGATACAGAAATGTAATAAAAATTAATTTTAAAATATTTATTTAATTATTTAGTTTATTAATACAGATTTTTCATATTGATATTTGAGTTTAAATCACAAATTAAATCTTTATTTTCTTTTTTTTATTAATAATAATTTTTTAATTTAAATCATAAATTAAATCTTTATTTCTTTTTTATATTAAAATTTAAAAAATTTGATTTTATATTCATATCGTATGATACAAATCTCTTTCTAATATACCCCACGACAGTAGCTTTATTTTTGTGCTCCCAAAGCACATTCCCACTCAGTGAGCCAGAAGAGAGAGAATGAGATCAAGAAAAAAAAATTATCCAAATATCATCCCTGAATAGAAGAATCACATGGGCCTGGAGTACTAAATTTTTTTCCCACAATAGGTATTATTGTACTCATAAATGGTAAATCATATGAATCGTACTGTATTGTGTATCATAGGATATTGATAACTATATATGAATGGAAATATATCAATCCAACAAACAGGTTATAGCAACTGCGAATATTTGAAAAAATAAATAAATTTATAATTATTAATCTTTAACACTTAAACATTTGTCAAAATTTTAAACAAGTATCAATCAACATGGATTATCTTCTTCAAATCTTGCAGGTCCCGTGCAGATGTTCAAGCTCTAGTACCAATTTTGTTGGGAGAAGAGTAACAGATACAGGAGATATTTTTTCTAAGGCTGAAGATTGCTCATTTCTCCTTGGACAATTAGTTGAAGTTACAAAATTTGTAACTTTACAAGAAATACATAAAGACATTTAACACCACCATAAACACATTAACTCTTTAGAAACTTAAATTAAAGATACAAAACTTAACATTTAAACTAAAATACTAAAACAGCCTTAGCATAAACTATATTAAATTGACACATTATTGTGACACAGGATAATGAGATCGATCCATGACACACTCATCAAGCTATTTTTCATAAAAGAATTCATGTAAAAAATGTCAAATAATATTATCTGTACAATGCTCTCATGTTTACAAACCGCATGTACAATAACGATTCCACCTGAGCTTTCGTAGTGAAAACTTCAAAGTTAGAATCATAAATGTGCTGAAAAGAAGCTAGTTTGTTCAATATAACTAGGCATTTTGCGTACAACAAAATATACAATTAAAAAAAAAAAACTGATTCCTCAAGAGCTTTGCCGCTCTTGTAGTTCTGACCGGCTCAAATCGAATTAGTTGGATAACCAATAAACCGGTAGAGAACTAAAAAAAATAAAAAAATTGTTTCCCAAGTGCGAAGATTATACGCCTCTAGTGTAATCAATCTATTTTGTGAAGCCAATGTCGTAAGGAATGCCAGTAGCCTTCAACCAATCCTCAGCTCTTCCAGCAGGTCCAGCTCTTAGGAATTGTCCAGCAGTGAATCTCGCAGCTTCATTGTTATTAATGTTTGCATGGTAACCCTTCCACTTCACCCTTTTTTGAAGATTGGCACCAGCTCCCACATTAGCATGCTCAGCATAGTACAATGTATCAAGAAATTGGTTCCCACTCCAAACACTCCACCCTTCTGGCGCAATTAAGTCACCGATGTTGGATTCCATAACCACTGTTCTAGCATACTGCTTCCATGGCCTCCCCAAGTAATTTTTAAATTGTAACCTTTCAGGGAATAGAGCCCTCTCTGGCACGATCTCGCAATTCTGGATTACAATCCCTGTGGCCATGTTCTTTTGTGATGTGCCATCTGCGGTCACTGTGTTGAATTGATTAGGATTTGGCTTCCTCACAATGATTCTAGAATTCTGAATCAATGTCGGTGATGTACCGAAGATGAAGTCAACGGTACCAGATATTTCACAGTTGCGGTAGAATTGACGATTCGCTTGAACGTACAAGGTGTCCTGAAAACCATGCATGGCACAATCGAAAAAAGCAGACATATCTCCCTGGTTTCTAAATGCCACTGCTTGGTGTTTACTAGGACCAGCTGTGTTCTCAAATGCCATAGACTTGGCAATGAATCCAGGTGCAACATTCGCTGCATGCATGCAAAATTATCAGTGCACGTCAAAGCTACATAAATATTTATTTTGAGATGTAGAAGAAATTAAAAGGGATAAATAACACTCATGTCACATGAAATAGATTCCTGTCATGCAATACTACTGACAAAACAAAATTGTTGAATATTGTGTCTCTTCCAATTTCTTTATTATTATTTAACTTGTCGTTTTCTGTGTTGGAGGAAAACAAATTTCTTGCTGTGCCAGGACGAAATCAAAGCCCAAATTAAAAGTACCCAAATAAAAAGTTAGCACTTAATATATCATGTCACGAATCAACTATCCTTACACATGAATAATTGTCTTATATCTATAATATTTTTTTTGAGATTTCATCATCACTGGTTCATCGATTAATCGACTAATCCGGTTGAGCAGGTATGATCACAAAGGCAGTAAGGTATGAAATTTGGGAGACTACTAGTTAAATTGGAATAATCTCGTAACAGTTGATCCACGTGATTAATAATTGAAATATTTATATTATATTTAAGGGAAAACTTACCGAAGGTGGCAGTTTGCATTGTCTTCACACCATCTACGAAGTTTTTATGACCAGTGATAATGGTTTTTGTAGGGCCATCACCATACATAAGAATATTAGCTGACTGTTTAGGAATGGTGATGTACTCGTCATAGACCCCAGCCTTAACATAGATAATGTATCTGCCTTTGAAGCCCTTAGGATATGAGTCAATAGCTTGCTTTACGGTTTTAAATTTACCACTTCCATCCTTGGCAACAACAGCGTTTGGTGTGACTTGACCTCCTCCATTATGCACCTTACCCAAGAGCTTTCTATCTGCAGGTGAGAACCATGTGGGTAATCCTTCATGGTCGACCTCATCAGCTTCCAGAAGACGACGAGATGCAGGATTCAAATCCAACTTCAAGTCAAAGTTCTGAAGAATGTTGGCTAAATCAGTGACAATGTCAAGAGTTATGCCAGTGAGCTTTCCCATTTGGTCCAAACTATCCGTTTGCAACTGTTCCTTAACCTTTGTCTCACCGTCTTTCTCATCATCAAAACCTTCCATGCATGACTGCTGGTACGAGATAACAGCACTCAACCAGTTCCTGAAGTCAGGGGTTTGGTCATGAATTGCTTGCATGTTGTTGTCACGAACCAAATTAGCTGAGGCTTCGAGGCTGTCAAGGGCGAATTGCATTAAGTCCTTGCAGTCATCGAGGGCCATCTTGATGCTAGGGTTATTGTTTCCATGCTCCACTGAGAGCCTGTCACTCATGTTCAAGGCTTGGATCACGCTTTTGAAACTTGCTTCCACTGCAGTTGCTATGTATACTTTTGGGTCTGAGGAATTGGAGGCTTTCGCAGAGCTAAGAGTGTCATAACAAAGCTTCTGGTCATCAGTGCCTTGGCACATTGACTTCACAGATTTTTGATGAGCTGCTACCTCAGGATCTTCTTTTTTATTATTAACAACAGAAACAACACCTATGGCAACACCCACCACCAGGATGAGGGAAACACCAGAGACAAGCACTTTATTCACCATTTTGTTTAATTTTTTTTTTTCTCAAAATTTTTTTTTGTCCCACTTTAGGAAAGAAGAGATAGGGATTTCCTCCCCTTGGTTTCTCGTTTGGGAGGTTGATTATTGATTAGTATGTATCACAGAGTAAATGCAAGGGTTGGGGTTTATATAGGTAGTTTAACTCTCTTTTTTATATCTTAGAATAGATGAGAATGCCAAACTTAACATGAATGAGTGTTCAGAATTGTCTTTGATTTCAGAATTTTAGGAGGGGACACTGCTTTTTCTTGAATAACAGTTTGTTGCTACGATAGAAGCAATCTTCCTATAATAAGCGTGATTGGCATATTAGTGGTAAAATTTTGTCTTCAGTTGGTGGTGGTACACAATTTTGACTTGCATCGTGATGACTAAAATTAGTTTGAGGCCTGGGCCATTTTTCAATCCATGGATATTCTTTTATGTCGTCCTTTGTTCTTGCAAAACCACAGCATTATTCGTGGTGGACTTGAATGGCTTGTTACCATTAATTAAGATGGTAAGGTTCACTCGTGGCTTATATTATACGACGATTTACAAAATACTGAATTATGCAAAACTTTTGAAGTGGATGGTAGTTGTTAATTCATATCAACTTTGCACTTTATTATCTAACGTGCACGTGCATTATAAATTATTTTTGTTCCTTTAGCCCTTACCTACATTTTTTAAGTACCACTTTGAAAATTTAAAATATATTGTCAGAGAAATATAAAAATTATTAATGTAGCTTCACAGCTTTTAAGTTGGATTGTCACTCACGAGTTCAATTATCACCGCCCCTATTTAATTAATAAATAATTTATATTGTGGAGTTTCAAAACACAGGTAGGCTGAATCTGATGCATCGTTCACTCTTCAAATTCAATAGGCTCTCGGCATTAACCTAATGCATTATACACCCTTCAAGTGTAATGGGCTCTCGTGTGAGGGAGCGTATTAGAGAAATATAAAAATTATTAATGTAGTATCACCCATCAACTTAAACTTCTGAATTGAATTAATTCTTTACATTTATCATTTGTGCAATTTGCATTAACGTGAGAATTTGCAAATCTTTCTTACATAGGCAAACGAAGAAATTGATGCATAACATATTTTTTGAAAGTAGAAACATTAATAAATGCGTATAAGCATCAGTTTCATTTTGTTTTAAGGTTGCTTAATAAATGCGTAATGTTTCTACTTTGAAAATTCTCATTAAAAGTTGTATTGTCCTAATCCTCCCCTATTTTTATTTGCCATTGGAATAGATTATGGTTCTAATATCTTAATACCACAAATACCACGCGCGTTAATAACAATGTGCTCAGCTCAAAGCACAACCATGCAAGAATTACAATACATTGAACAGGGGAGTGGATATAAGGAAAAAGTTCCCCTAAAGTGAGAAAGGATGAATGAACTTTTAATTAGATACATTTTATTATAAAGTACTGAAATTATTATTTTATAAACATATATATATATATATATATATAACGAGATCAATTTACACCGATATAAGAATAATAAATATCGGTCTAAAAGATAAAGTGATAAACAATGTCTAATTTAATAATTTTCTTTTTTAGACGTATCTATCCTTAAATTTTAATAGCTTAAGATTATATTATATTTTATTAATAAAATATAATATAATCTTAAGACACAATCAAAATACTTTGCATCATCGCAAGTCTTTCCAAGTAGTATCAGTTATCTATTTTTTCGTCTTCGAGCAAACACGCTACCTGTATTCCGTTCCCCCATCCCCATCACCCTCCGCCCCCGCGGGAGAGAAAAAAAAACCCACAACAAAAACCTACCAGTATGGTTAGAAAAATAAATCACAAATGAAAACAACAGCCTCAACATTGAGCAGTGACACAGTAATTTCTTTTTCATTTCCAAAGCATTGGAATCGAAATTAGGAGAAATCATACAACTCTCAACTTGATAAACATTTTGATAAAAAATAAAAAAATTAATCTAGTAAGAACAGGCCTTTGTCATTATAACTGTTTCCAACAACGAAATTGTCGAATGACTTGCTCTTTCCTCTGACTATACTCATTTCTGTTTCGCAGTTTTTTCCAATACTTTAAAGATAGCAATCATCCCAGCAGTAAGGGATAGAAAGAAAAAATAAAAATGGAGAAAACAAATAACACCAAAAAGAATAGAAGAAGCAAGGAAACCTCAGAGAACCTCATGGATTATGAACAAAATGAATACATTGTAAACAATGAGATATAAAGCCAAGGTCGAGCAATTCACCACCAGCTTCTGAAGCAATCTCATATATTTTGCATGCACACTTGCGCACGTACTCACAGATTGAGAGAAAGAGATACAGAGATTAATTTGGTGTTTCACCAGCAGGTCCAGGTCGGGCAGTCAACAAAGGTTGAAGAGCTTTTACTACAATGCTCATGTTGGGTCTGAAATCAGCTTCATATTGCACGCACAGTGCAGCAACAGCAGCCATCTGTAAGTAACCAAGCATCATGCTGTTATACATGAATATCGTTCTTAATTAAGTAAATCTCTAAGGGCACTTGTTCTGGGTGCCTGTGGTTCCTATAAAGCTTCCCACAAAAATGTGTATATTATTTCTACGGTGAAGTATTTGTATATTTTCCTCTAATATAATGAATACCGCGATGGCGCTTAACTTACACTAAAACTTAGAACATAAACTATAAAGAAAAAGATACTGTCTTCCAGTTGCTCAATTAATTAATATATTCAACGAATTTCCCCATAAAGGAAATGATACATAAGTTTAGAATCAAACTTTTGCCTCTTGCATAGTATTTACTACCTAGACAAAATAAAGAATTCTGCAGCTATTTTGATTAGCTGCTTTTGCATAGTTTTCCAATTTATATGAATATATTTCAAATAAATATAAGCTATAAAACACTGCCACAAACAGTCCACACCACCTTAGCAAGGAAAATGGAAAAATAAAATAAAAATAGAAATATACTATAATGACAGTAAAGACCTTAGCAACAGCTTTGGGTGGGTATTCTCCTCCTAGTCTTGAATCAACACATTGCCTGACTTTATCCTCACTGAGTTTTGGTGTAGCCTGAAACACATATCAATTGCTGTGATCAGCTACCAAATCTACATTCTAAATTTTCAGACAAAAGGACTGTAGATCACAATGAACATGTTTGGATTCTGTTTCTTTTTTTCTTTTGTTAGAGGGGAGAAGTGGTGTAAACATATAGCTTAAATTAGTACCCAAGTAACCAGACTCTGTTGTCCACGTGGTAGTGTATGATCAACAGGTTTCCTTCCAGTCAAAAGTTCCAGAAGGACAACACCAAAACTGTATACATCACTCTTAGCATTCAATTGTCCAGTCATTGCATATCTGCATCCACAAGATTAGACAGATCGTTATTTAGCAGTTGAGGCTAGAATACCAAATTAAAAAAAGAAAAAAGAAAAAGTTTATTTGTCCAAATTGATACAAAGATAAAGAAAGGAAAAATATAGGAATTGGTAACTCTTGTCTAGTAAACTGAGGCAGAACGGAAAGTTTCTATGCTTTTCCAATAATTCTTCAGCATTAACGCACAAAATCAAGAGGTCCATGATATCCAATGGGGATAAAATAAGGCATGTAACCTGATATGTAACTTGAAAATTGAAATTTGTATCTTACTCTGGTGCATGATAACCAAAGGTTCCAAGAACACGAGTGGAATGAAGACGCGCAGCCATGTCAGGAGCCTGGTTTGATAAATCAAAATCTGCAATTTTAGCAACATCATCATCAAATATTAGCACATTGCTTGACTTGATGTCCCGGTGGATAATGTGGGGATCAGCCTTCTCATGCAAGTATTCAAGCCCTCTTGCAGCCCCTACAGCAATTTTTACTCTCTGCGCCCATGTCAAAACAGGACCAGGCTCTGCTCCTTTAACACCTTTTCTGCCTGCATGTAATCGTGAGAACATTTATGCATAATAAAATTACAGACTGAGCTAATAAATCTCTAAGTAGCGACCATTCTTGTCAAGGCAGGCACCAAAAATAAAAACTAATGTTAAAATCCATAATCTTCTCAATTCCTATAATATAGAAACAGAACTCAACTAGTGTTGTATATAGATGTTACTATTTTTATAATTCAACCAATTAAAGGCATAACCATATACCATGTAAAATATCATGAAGTGACCCATTAGATGCAAACTCATAAGCAAGAATACGGGAGTTTCCATCAACACAATATCCAAGCAACTGAACAAAATTTTCATGCTTCAGCCTTGATACCATTGAAACCTGAAAGTTCAAATGGGATTTGAAAATTTTCAATGACCTGAAAAAAGAAAAAGAAAAATTAAGTCAAGGTTGTCATACATACATACATACCTGGGCTAAAAATTCCTCATCAGGCTGTTTACTGGCATCTAACTTCTTGACTGCCGCAGCCTGCCCACTTTTAAGAACGCCATAATATACTCTTCCATAAGATCCCTCTCCAATCAGAGAATCTTGCCCAAAGTTATCAGTAACTTCTTTTAGTTCATCTGCTGGTATATCAGGAACTTCAATGGGCTGGACTTTAACAGTCTGAGCCCCCTGCTTTGCAGTTTCAGAAGCATGATAATTTCCATCATTCCCTGCACAAAAGAATTTATCACAATAATTTCATCAAATTCAATTTCAGGTAATATAACATCAAACAAATTAGCACAATGGAGTACCATAATTCAGCATCTCAATCACATAATACGGATTCAATCCAATTGAGATGGAAATATCACTCAAAGATGTATGTAATGCTTTAGAGTTGCGAACTATATATATCATCCCTGATATATTCCTCAAACTAATATGAGCCAAATTACCTGCAGAATTTTTTACGACATATGGTCCTCCGCTTTCAGCAGCCTTAGGGAAGTCACCCTCTTCGCAACAACTGAAACAACTCATGATTCTTTCCCGCTGAAATAATTCAGCAGCCATCAGATCATACTAATAATAAGTTGCTTTTAAGCTTGAATATACAGTCTAATTTTTTATTTTTTTTAAAGTGGTTTCTGCTAGAAAGATGATACATCCTGGCTATAATTGAAACTTTTCAACAATTCAGAAAGAAAGAAAGAAGGAAGGAAGGAAATAGTATATTTGTGTGTACTATCTGTCCAATTACATTGAATGCTATCATTAACTATTAACTCGGTATAGCTTCATTTCATTTGCATGATATGAAAACTTCAATAGGCATAATGCTTGAACTAATTTGATTCATATTAACAAAAATACAAGATATCCCTGCCTAACTATTTCAAATGTCATCAAATGTAAAAATGAAACAGCAAATGATGGCAAGTGATTCATGAAAAATTCACAGCATGAAATCAGTGTTTGTTTCCACTACGAAAAACTCAACGCTTCGGTTAGCAAATCTTAATTGAACGAAGCTAAACGAATCAGATCGAATCAGTTTCCGCCAATCAGAGCAAACTGCTACTAAAATCCAAGCCAGTAGCCACAGATCAGTCTAAAGCAGAACCAGTTATTACCGGTCGAAATCCAATTTTGCCGGAAAATAAAAAATGTTCATCCGTAAGAAAATTAAAATAAAAAAAGATGATCACGAAAATGAAAATAACATGAGAATATTTTAGCAGAAACAAGAAAAAGTAAGTGACATTGAAGAGTGTGATAGATCGATGAGTACCTGAGATAAATGAAATAGCAAAATTGGAGAGTTGAGAGCAAAGAGCGGTGGGGAGTGAGGTGTTAAAGAGCGTAGTTGAGGATCTCGGTTCCGAAACCGGTGAAAGATGCGCAGGATAAGCAGAGAGGAGTGCGTAGGATAAAGGGGTGGAACTAGTTGTTGACTCTGCTTTGAATTGGAATAGGAATGCGTTACTTGTGTATTATTTAGTAACAAGGAATTTTTTTTTGCATTTCTACAACTAAGCATATCATTATGTAATATCCAACTATTTAAATACCACTAATTCAGGCTTTTTTCCTCTCCTTTTACGTGTTCTGCGCCGACCTGGCTTGCCAGACTTGACTTGTGAGATACATGCCAGATGCCACACAGGTGGCTAAGAAGAAACGCCATTGTGACTTCTTCGTTGGGATTTTTTTTTTTTAAGGGATTAATATTTTTGATATTGAAAGAAATAATTTTATTTTTTATATATATAAAAGTGTGTGAGATTTATATTTTTTTGTTCTCTGTTTTCATTATATGGCTTTATATGATATTTATATACTTTTATATATATGTAAAAAATAATTTTTTTCTTGCCATATAAGAAAAATTAATCCTTTTTTTTTTAAGGAAAAAGTGTTTCTCATGTAAGTTATCTCTAGTAATTTTCAAAATTACATCATTGTGAGAGTTTAAATAAGTTGGGTTGAGCTAGGTTTTTCCTTAAAGAGATTAGACTTGTATAAAATACTTTAGGTCAACCTGATCTATGTTAACCTTGTATAGGTTTAGATTATAATTCTGATCTGACCTATATTTAAAAAAAAATCTTGGCCCAAGTTTATTAGACTGTTTAAACTTATTAGGGATTCAAAAATTAAAATAATATTACTTTTATTTAAAATCATTAAATAATAATTTATTTATTTTATTTAAAATAAATAATATAATATAGGTCAGCTAATAATCTGGCATAAAAAATAGACTATATAATCTGTTTTCTAAATAAGCTTTTCTATAGCCGTTGACCCGGACCAAAAACCGGGTTCAAATGGGGTCAATCAGTGTTATGTTAAATTTTGTAAAATATATATTTTGCAAGGATCAAAAAGTTTATCACTAGATCACTTTTATTTGATAGAAATGATGTTCATAATTTAATATTATTGTATATTATTTTGGAATTTTATTGAACCCAGTTGAATCACTGATCCATTGATTCTATATCTTTGACTGAGTCGATAACCGGTCCGAGAGTCTGATTTGATGTAGGCCGAGCAGTAAATTCCTGTGAGGCCGGTTATCCCATTTACACTTCTATTACAAAATTAATAAAGAGTGTTTTGATAAAATTTATATAATAAAAAAATAATTAAAATTTCTATAATATATTGCATCAGCAGAAAACTTGTTTTTTATCCTTTAACATTATATACATAAAGCCCTTCGTTAATTTCTCAAACACTTAAAATAAAATAGTTTTGAGGTTGATATGACAGGAAAAATGATAACCCTTTTTTAAATTATATTTATAATAAGAATGCGTTTATAAAAAAATATTAAAGGGAACATACGCTCTTATTTTAAAATTTTATATAATTTTGTTATATAAAAATTTTATATAGTCGTGTTTCGTTTTGTTTTATTTCATCCTCTGTCCTGCTCAAATATTTATCTAACTAAAATACAACATACGCAACACATTTGATTTGTATTGTTAAATTACTTTTATAACATTTTTATAATAAAATATTTACAGTTAGATGTATTATTTTATATGTAATAATTATCCTATTTGTTACATGTTTTAAGGTGCGGTTCTTCTAAAAAATATATTGACTGATACCAGGGAAAGTTTACTATATCACTCAAATCATATTAGTTATGTTACTGCGTTTGGGTATTAATTACTAAATTATTTATAAAAATTCAATCTATCAAGTATAAGATAGATTCAAAAAAGTCTTCAGTGCTAAAAGGTTTATAAATGGTAATTGGTTCAAATAATCCTGTGACATTAAGTGGGATTTTTAGAAAAATTCAACTTTTATAAAGTAAGTTCGGTACCCTATCTTTTCAGAGATACTTTGAGGCGTTTGGTTCAGGAAATTTTTTTGGAATAGTAGAAAAATGAGATAAATAGAGAAATAATTGGAAAAATAGATAAAGTGAGATAGGTAGAAAAATATAAAAAAAAAGTTGTTTGGTGGGGAAAAAACTTTACTGGAAAAATTAGGTAACTTTATGAAATCAACAGTGCATTAAAAGCCAGATAACCGGTTTTCCGAAAAATCTCACCTTCAAATTGGGTTTCTAAATAGTGTGAATATCTATGTTTCTCATAAATCTAGACAAATTGGATAGATAGATTTTTGGTGAAAAACGTTGAAACAAACATGATGTTTCTAAAAGCCATACTTGAAAAAGATAAATATCCGTTGAAAAGCTCTCAACCAAACAATGTAATTATACTTTAGGATTAGTTTCATCCACCAATTAGTTTGGCATATAAAAACTGCTAACTCCTGTTTTTATGTGCTCTACATTGGATCTAACAATATAAAATTTGAGTTTTTTTTTTCTTGGACCAAAGCACCGTACACCTTTCACAAAAAAAAAAAAAAAAGCACCGTACACACTTTTAAAAAACAACACCAATACGCGTTCGACACGCGATCAACATTCTGATACGCATTTTAGACACTCGTTCAATTTTTTCCGACACGTTATCAATTTTTAAGTCTAAATTTTATTTTATTAATTAAACATGAAAAAATAATTTGTAAATCAATTTTTTTTGTTATGAAATTTGACATAAAAATTTATTTTTGTTTTATATTTATGTTATGAAATTTGAATATTTGATTGATTATATGACTTATTATTGGTTGTTATATGTATTACATATAAATTATATTATATATATTAAAAATGGGGCAGGATCCTTTGACATCGGTGTCAAATTTAAAATTTGACACCTCATCTGAGAGCCGTTAGATAAAAAAAGATCAATGGTGTCACATGCTTACAAGTTAGAGGCATTGATCTTTTTTGATCTAACGGCTCTCAGATGAAGTGTTAAACTTTAAATTTGACACTAGTGACAAAGGATCCTACCTCATTAAAAATATTATTTAATATCAAAAAGTATCTTAACATGTCAAAATATAATATTTTTTAGAATTAAAATTTTTTATGTCAACGTATTATATCTTGTCGTATTCCGTGTACTGTATGGATATCTAAGCAACATAGCCAACAACAATAACAGATTAGTAAAAAACGTCTGGTCTTCAACGAGACTCGGCGAAATATGCCATTTTTATATAAAACTCCTAAGCATTAATGGAAATATAAGTTTTGATAACTTGTTCTAATAAATGAATTAGCCATCTTAAATTGTCATCAAGCATTGTTCGGGTAAATTACTTACAATGTATTCTTCATTCTTCTTTATTGACTTGTTGTTGAAGGAAGGAACAGAGTGGATTGAATAATAGATATGTTTTATTAAAAAAAAATCAGCTTAACTATGAGACAACTGCTTTATCTCCCCAAAAACAAAAGTTTGACAAATGCTTCTCCGTAATCAGCGCTGCCAATAATCATGCGACGATTTTTTTTTTTTCCCTATATGACTATAACATGGAACTCGTTGCTATAAACATAGGAAAAAATTATTCTTACGTAACATAAAAATAAATTTTTTTTTAATAGATTCATCAAAAATTGTAATATTTTTTATTTTTTTTGTAAATGACGAACTTTAACACATATGTGTCTATAATATGAGAGATCTTCTCTTATACAACATAAAATTAGATGAACCATAAACATAATGAAGTTTTAACAAGATGAAAACCACATTATTAAATATTATCTTTGTTATTATCTTTTATAATTAAGAGGAAAGCCAGAGCCTACCAAAAAATATAAACTCTTAAGTATCTTAATAGGGATTCGATTGTTAACTATGTGTATGAAAAATATTTTGTTAGGAGAGGCTATGACTGTGCATGACAACTTTCTAGAAATCTTTATTTTTGTTAATTTCTGTTCCTGGGAATAAAAATGGATAGAAAACTCGTTTGGTAAAATCAGTTTATTTTTTTGTTTTTGGGATGAACCGATTTAATTTTTGTGCTGGGGAACAGAAAAAAGAATACAAAAATTTATGCTATTTTTGTTCTCGAACTCAAAATGAGAAACACTTGTCTTTCTCAATCACTCTCCATTATTAGCATCATCATCACCACCACCATCACGACACGGCCATCGGAACCACTGTCATCATCACCACTACCACTACCACCACCCCTATGATGCCACCATCACCACCACCTCCACGTCACCGCCATCATCACTATCATAACTACCACCACCATTACCTCTACTGTCACCAACCACCACTATCATCACCACGCCAATGCCACTGCCACCACGCTACCACCACCATGATGCCACCATCATTGCTGCAACCACTACCATCACCACCATACTACTATCATCACCACGTCATCGCCAACATCACTACCGTCGCCGCTACCATCACCACGCTACTGCCACCGCCACTATCGTCGCAGCCACTACCATCACCATCACCATCACCACTATGTCATCACAACTATCATCACTACGTCATTGCCACCACCACTACCCCCACCGCCGACACCACCATTAATATTACCACCACCACGCCACCACCATAGCTGCAACCATTGCCATTACCCCCATGCCACCGCCATTACCGCCGCCACCACCATCGTCACCATTACCACCACTATCATCGCAGCCATTGCCATCACCACCACCATTGCCACCACCACCACCACCACCACCATACCATATGAAAAGGAAAGTCATGATCCGGAAAAAATTTATGCTTACTAGGAATAATTTTTTAATCTATTATTGTTGTGTTATCAAACGCAATTCTCATTCTCGAAATAAAAATAGAATATGTTATCAAACATATATTTTTTTTAGAAACTGTTCCAAGGCACATAAATAGAAAAGAATTGTTTCTTTTCAGAAATAGTGTTATAGAACAGAATGGTTGTTATGCATACCCTATATCCACTTTGATAATCTTGAGGCCTCGGTGGATTAATCTCCGGCTATCGGTCGGAGGATACCTTTAAAAACAAAAGTATATATATATATATATATATATATATATATATATATATATATATATATATATATAATATATATAATATTAAGAAGTTATTAAAAATATATGTTTATAAGATATCGCAGAAAAACTATTATTTGATCTTGATTTTATTAAAAATTAATTATAACA